AAAATACAACTGGAGAAATGGTTAGGGGTGGAGGAAAGCATTATGAGACAAAAATCAAGAGTAAAATGGCTAAAGCTAGGTGATGCCAACACAGCATATTTTTTTGCAAATATGAAAACAGATGCAGCCAAAACAAGATTAGAAGACTAATAAAGGGTAATGGGAGCACAGTGCAAACAAGGAAGGACATTGAGGAGGAAGTGACAAGGTTCTATCAACAGCTGTTAGGCTCATCAGCAACTGAATTGCCTGCTATCAACCCAGCTATTATGAGAGATGGTCCCATGGTGAATAGACTGCAACAACTACAACTGATTGCAGAGGTCTCAAAGGAGGAGATTTATCAGGCTCTGAAAGGTATCAGTGACAGCAAAGCCCCTGGGTATGATGGATTCAATGCTTTATTCTTCAAGAAGGCTTGGCCTTTAGTAGGAGATACAATCATAGATGCAGTTATAAAGTTCTTTTCAAGTTTAAATATGTATCAGCCTATCAACTGTACAACAGTAACTCTTGTTCCTAAGGTGAAAAGTCCTTCTAAAATTACTGAGTACAGGCCAATATCATCTTGCAAAATTCTTACAAGATTATATCAAAGATACTAACCAACAAATTATAAGGAGTGATGGATGGACTGGTGGATAAGAGTCAGTCCGCCTTTGATCCTGGTAGACTGATAAATGATAACATAATACTTAGTCATGAGTTAGTGAAAGGATATGGCAAGAAAGGTGTCTCTCCCAGATGTATGCTGAAGATAGATATGAAGAAGGCATATGATTCAGTGGAATGGGGTTATCTAGAACAAGTGTTGACTCATCTGCAGCTGCCAGGGAGATTTGTGCAATGGATTATGAGCTGTGTTACAACAGTCTCATACTCCATTATGATTAATGGGCAACCTACAAAGCCATTTCAAGCTAATAAAGGGTTGAGACAGGGAGATCCCCTATCTCCTTACCTATTTGTGCTGGTTATGGAGTATTTGACTAGACTTTCGAAGACACTTAAAAAGGATCCTAATTTCAACTATCATCCTAAATGTCGCAAACTGAACATAGTGCAATTGAGCTTTGCTGATGATCTATTACTATTCTGTAGAGGTGATACCATATCTGTTCAGTTACTATTTCAGTGCTTTCAGCAATTCTCTAAGGCTTCAGGGCTAGTGGCAAATGCTGATAAAAGTTCCATATTCTTTGGTGGAGTGCATGATGACCAATAACAGAAGATATTGCAAGACTTGGGTTTTGTCAAAGGAACACTACCAGTTAGGTACTTGGGGGTACCTCTTAGCTCTAAGAGGTTATCATTAATAAAGTGCCAGCCTCTACTTGAGAAGATGCTAGGGAGAATCTATTCCTGGACATCAAAGTTTCTGTCCTATGCAGGAAGAATTCAGCTAATCAAGAGTGTGTTATTCTCTATCCAAGTATACTGGTATCAGGTGTTTGTGTTGCCAAAGAAACTCATCTAACTTATTGAAAGAGTATGCAGAACATTCCTATGGACTGGGGGTGTAGAAGTGTCAAGGAAAGCTCTATTGTCATGGGACAATTTGTGCAAACCTAAAGCAGCTGGTGGTTTAAATCTACTGGCTATAGAGGAATGGAATAAGGCAGCCATATTTAAACTTCTTTGGAACCTATGCAAGAAGAAAGATAGGTTATGGGTGCAATAGATACATGTATATTATAAAAAACAGAATGCATTGTGGAGTATTGTACCAAAACAAGCCTCTTGGATAGTATAGAAGATACTTAAAGCCAAACAATACTTTGAGGAAGCTGGTTATACAGAGGAGGATGTAGAGGGGATAAGCAGCTTCTCTATTAAGAGTATGTATGGAAAACTGAGGGGTGACTTTGATAGAGTACCATGGAGGAAACTGGTGCACAACAGTGTTGGAGTGCCAAAATGGAACTTTATAGTCTTCCTAGCTGCACATAGAAGATTGATGACTAAAGACAGGCTGAGGGGTTTGGACTGTGTGGAGGATGTAACATGTTCTCTATGTAACAGTGAAGAGGAGACAGTGGATCATTTGTTCTTTAAATGTACCTATTCGTCGAGAGTATGGAAAGCAATGCTACAATGGCAAGGGATCCAGAGACAACCAATGATGTGGGCAGATGAACTTGAGTGGGCAGGGAAGTACTATAAAGGGAGGAGTATAACAGCTGAGTTGTATAAACTTGTACTGGCAGGCACACTGTATTACATATGGCAAGAGAGGAATGGCAGGATCTTCAAAGGAGTGCAACGACCAGAAGTTACTATAAGCAGAGCAATAACGCAGGATGTGCACGGGCGAGGAGAAAGTAAACACGGGTTACAAAGAAGGCTACGGGAACTCAACTACTATCCTAGTATGTAAGGATTGTTCTATAGAGAGTAGTTAGACTAAACTGTCTCTTGTAGTAGTAGTTATGAGGCCAGGAATGGAGCTAAAATCTGGGGAGTATGTCCGGATTAAGCTTGAGTACAGTATGTAATATTGGTTGAGAAATGAAAATGTTAATTACCAAAAAAAAAAACATACAACTTAAATACAAATTTTATACAATATGTCTTTTGTATCTGATTTATACATAGTAAAAACAAATTTCATAAAACTAATTATATATTATACAATTTATATACAACTTTCACACATTATTTCTACCCAGTTAAATACAACTACAATAACATATAACTTAAATACAAATTTTATACAATATGTCTTTTGTATATTTTATATCTGATTTATACATAGTAAAAATAAATTTCATACAACTAATTATATATTATATAACTTATCTACAACTTATCTACAATTTTCATACATTTTTTTTTGGTAAATAAGAATTTTATTACCAAGTAGCAATATTTACAGCTCATCTAAACTATTACAAAATATGCCTAGCATATCACCTACTGGACATAAAGCCCCAGTAAGATGACATCTAGCATTCACTTCTTCTATAATTCCATCAACTTCCACTACTATATTCTATTCTAACTAATTTTCGGATACCCGTTCAAAGTAGTCATTACCTTATCTAGATAAGGGAACCTTGCTGCCCTTATGTGCACTTCCTAGATAATATGATTGATTAAAGAAGTGGCTGTCCTTCTCTTCTTCTGAAAAATCACAAAATTCCTCTCCCGCCAACAATGATAAACTGCTGCTGCTAGTGTCATTCTGCATATAGCTGCTCTTGCACTCTTACCTTTAGTCACCTTCACCGTCCATGTAATCTCTTCCTGCCAGTTGTGGTGTGATCTTTGAATCCCTTGCCATCTCAGCAGACCNAATTGGCACATTGTAGTGCTATGTTGAGGTGACTTGCACGCCGGATAACGGGCGTGGGGTAGAGCACCGTTGGGGATCGTGACTTGATCCGTCCCGCTTAATAAAAATTATTACCTAATTGATTGAAGCTTAGTAGATATCCTTATAAAAATAGATTAGTTATCATAATTGGGCTTCGTGCCAACTGCTTGAATCCTTCAGGGATTGTTTTTATTGGTTTCTTACCATTTTTTTTACATATCATCGATCTCAGTCCTGGTAGTTAATACTGTTTTGCAAACTCAACCACTTTTTCTCAAATTAGAAACTTAATTAATATTTTTAAATGAAGTTTGGGCTAAATATTTCTATATTAATGTGCCCGAGAGGCTTATGTGATTTTGGACTGAGCATGAGATCGGGCTGCACGCCACAGCGGTATGATACTGATATTGATATGAGGCCGAGGGCCTAGTTGATGCCACGAGATGGCTTATTATTGCGCTTGGGCCGTAAGGGGCCCCTCCCGGAGTCTGCACACCCCAGTGAGCGCCGTCGACGATAAATAAATGGAGCGGGTTGCACGCCGCAGCGGGTACGTGAGAGTACCGGTCTATGTGTTGCATTGCATACTGTTAATTGTCATTTATTTACTTATCTGCTGTGATATTTCTATAATTATTTTCACTGTTTTACTGGATTTTATGCTGCTAGGTTCAAGACGCTGTATTTATAGAATTACTTTATGCCTATTTAGGATTTCTTATTCTCGGTCTTTATTTATGTTTATTACTCACTGAGTTGGAAGTACTCACTTTACTCCCTGCACCTCGTGTGCAGATTCAGGTGCACCCACTGAGGCTGAGTGAGACTTTATCTGTCGAGCATCATATCCGGGAGCATCAAGGTAGCTGCATGACATCCGCAGTCCTGATCTTCCCATCTATCCTATTTATTTTATTCCGCATTCCTTCAGACTATTATGTAGTAGGTTGACACTCGTATATTAGAGGCTCAGACTTGTGACACCGGATTCTTCGGGCCGTGTAGTAGTATTTTTACTTGGGTTTTCCGCATGTTTGAACTTTATTTTAGATATTTAGTACTATGACTTATTAATTTAACTGTGTTAAATAAATTCATGAGTTGTATATATGGTCAAGGTTATTGGATTGGTCGGGCTTGCCTAGCAATGTGTTGGGCATATCACGACCGGGGTTGGGGTCGTGACAAGACCTCAAATTGAGGTCGGATTCCAAAACCAATTGTATAACCGGGCTCCGGGGTGAATGGGTAATCGGGTTTTGGTCCGAATTTCGAGTTTTTACCAAGCAGGCCTGGTCGATTTTTGACTTTTTGGGGAAAATATTAGAAAACCTATAATTATGCATAGGAATTGATTTCTTTAGCGGTAATTAACAATGTTTTAAAAGGCGGGGGCGAGAGGAGAGGCATTTTACCTTCGACGAGGCGAGGCGTAAGCCCTGAGACATGGGGCATAAGTCTCACGGATCTTTAAATTTTACTAATTTCAAGAATTTTAAGATAGTATAAAATAAAAAATAATTATAAAAATTACATCAATATCACAAATATATAAAAAATAATCTATTTAAAATATTTACAAATTATAATTTGACTACGAATAATACGAAAAGTATGACATATATCATAATATGCAAATTAGTTGCAACGTCGTTACAACTCAAACATCAAAAGTAATGTATTCAATATGAAATCTTATATGTATCTCTTAAGGAGCAATAAATCTTGAAAGAATTTCAATATTATAATTTGATATACTTAAAATACTCCTTTTATATAATATACTTTCTATTTGAAAGAGAATTTATACAAAAATATAATTTACAATTTAAATATGATTCTCTAGCATCACTTATTTTTAAGTTTCAAAAAGTTAATAAACTGACACATAATTCACCATACAATATCATGATAACTAATTATTTATAGATAGTTACTAGCTAATACTGAGATATTAAATTAATAAGTATTGTATCTCGTAAACGTGAAAAAACAAATATTTAGAAAAATAATTATAAAAAAAATTATGGACTATTATATAGTAAAGACATAACAAAAGTTAATAAATAAATACTTTTGAAAAAGATTGTCACGACCCTAAAACGGACCCGGTCCAGAAATTCATGATAAGTAATTTAAAGTCATTAATTAGCTAAAAATTCCATAAAATAAGTCAAAATAGACCATGCGGAAACATAACACAGCCCGACATCGGGGTGTCACCAGTCATAAGCAACTACATCTCGTCTAGGAGTAAGAAAAGTCAACATAGTCTGGAAGCAATGCTAATACAAGGCTAAATAAGATAGGAAGGAGAAGCACTGAACTGCAAACGCCAAGCAGCTACCTAGTTTATGACAAAAATGAATGCATAAAAAAAGTTACACATGTTATTTAGGCATGGGCCGACTGCCGTTGCCGTTTTATTTTTATTTTGTGTGTGTGGGAGATACATAATGCATGATACGATAAAACCAAATAAAAAAGGGATTTCATTCCTATACATTATTTGAAACTTTATTATCAAAATTGTCCATGTTTTGTTATTTACCCGGCCTACACAAGTTTTGTTTACAAAATATATACATTCCACCTTAAAAGGCTCTCAATCCATTATGAGTGCCTACAATTAAGGGATTTAGTTATACCTTTTTTCTTTTTTTTTTTCTCTCTTCTTTCTCCTTTTCTCTCCGGATTTTCCACCCACACTCCAAATCTTTTTGGTTCGTCTTTTTGTTCGTACGTGTTGTCACTTTGAACTACATCGTCCTTCTTTAATTAATCCTCTTTGCTGAATCTTTAGTAATTGTATTATAATATATTCCTAACCTTTTCAACAGATAATTATCATGAGTGAACTTTATAGTCTGATCAATTCGTAAGAGTCGCTATAAAAAAGATAGTAGAAGCATTCTGTATATTCCTTCTCTCATAAGAAAACATAATAATATCGTAGTATAAATAACCCATCCAATTTCCAAACCTAAGGCAGCAAACATCAAAACCTAGCACAGAATTTAGCAGAATGTTTGCCACAACACCACGTTCTTTGCCAAATGTGTATTTTTAAAAGTGCTCCACATATAGTCTAAACGAGAAATTGTGGATGCACGTGTAGTCACTTAGTTCAGTATATTTTGTGTTTCATCAAACTAGTATAGAAAAATTTACCTTCCAGATTTGACGATCGATAAAGACAGAGGAAACTCGATGTGGGAAAGGCTTTAGAGAGATTGAAGATGGACTTTTTGGTTAAGGACGCCATTGATGCTTCTTCTTTTGCAGTTTTTGCTTGAATAGTTCTTTTTTGGTTATTGAACTTGATGAGATGATTCATGATTCTGAGGTCTTAGCTCCTTTTCGTCTCGGTATTCTCGAGACTTACTTCATAAAGTAAGGGATTTATGCAGTACAACTTTCATACATTATTTTGTATACAATAATTTCACATACTTTACGAAATTGTAGTATAATTTTTATACAAATTTTATACAGTATGTTATTTATATATTTTTTATCTGATTTATATATAATAAAAATAAATTTCATACAACTAATTATATATTATACAACTATCTACAATTTATCTATAACTTTCATTATTTCTACCCAGTTATATACAACTACAATGTCATACAATTTAAATACAATTTTTATACAATATTGTTCAACTTTCATACAATAGTTAAATTAAAATATATATATAAATTTTAATACAATTATACTACAATTTTACTACAATTGTACTACAATAGAATACAATTTTACTACAATTTCGTAAGTATAATGTATGTCATGTCTTCTTCTTCTTCGAGTTTCAATCTAAAATTCAGCCAAAATCAAGTCTAATCTTCATCAAAACCCCTCAAAATTGAGATATAAACTCCAAACCATATTGCCAATTATTTGTTACAACACCCAATCCAAACAAATAATGGTTTTGAAAACCCAAATTCGAATTCAAAGCTTCAAAGCTTTTTAATGGTTGTCAATGGTGGAATTGCTGCTCTCTTTTCCTTTGCTTTACATTACTGAAATTAGAGATTGAGAGATAGAGA